GAGAGTAAGAGAGCAAGAGAGCAAGAGAGTAAGATAGCGAGAGAGTGAGAGAGAAAGGAGTAAGTGACCAAGTGTGCAATGGGCACAATAGGTGCAAACGGCCAAGCCCCCCCCCCCCCCCCCTGGATGAAAGTCGACGACAGGATCGCGGCCCCGAAGGACAGGAGGTCCTTGTTGGTCGAGTACACTCCACCCGAACTGCGACCCTCACACGTTCTCCGTCAGGATATACTTCTTTCTGCAATGGGGGCCAGATGTGAACACTTTACCTATTCTCGTAGCCCAGAGGCGTACCCCACCAGTTGGTCTCAGCAGGGACCCGGTCCACGCTTTCTGGCCGTAGTGTGGCGACCTCGACAAGTACAAGCTATACTGCAGCTTTAGGGCGTGCTCGGCAGTTCTCTCCAGGTGCTGATGGCACCCCCAGCCCCAGCGCCAGCGGGTCGACATGAGTTCGTCCAAATTGCGCCAGTTTCCAGCAGGGTCCAGTTCGACTCCTAGCTCCCCAGCAAGCCCCAAACCTATTGGTGCTTCAAGAAGTCCTCATCGTCGTCGTCCAAATCCTCGCGGAAGTCCCCTTCCGTCGACTCCGAGTGCTCACGCACAAGGATGACGTGCACATCCGGGACAACAAGGCCACGCGCAACCGCGACAACGAAATCGACCCGTACGACTTCTCCGAGCTCGAGGCCGGGATCGCCTCAAGTGGCCACGGCATTCCGACAACCACTCAGGTTGGTCGGTGCAAGATCGAGGAAGGGAAGGTCTCAGGCGAACATCCCATATTTTGATACACAAGGACAGGTCGCCGACGGGCAATCCGCGAGCTATTTAATGCCACGGTTAGGGAGAGCGATCTAATGCTTCCCGTCTACAAAGGAAGAATCCAATGGATAAGTACATTAGCAATAAATTATAGACGTTATGTAATGTTTCGAGTTCACACACTCACTGCCTTATCGAAGCATCTCGCGTATCTTACAGCTCGTGTATCTGTCTCGTAAATCTATGCGATTATGCAACAACATTCGGCGGCAGCAACATCAGCGGGAGCGGCAACAATAGCAGCGTCACCACCCCCATCTCCACGTCCATATTCCATCGTCGCACTCGCTCACCGTTCAGTACAGTCCTGGCCTAGTTAGCAGCGTTGGCACCCTCTACCTGCTCACTCTACTCTGCTCCATCCTGCTCTGCTCTGCGCTGTTCTGCGCTACTCAGCCCTACTCAGCCCAAAGGTTCCGCACAGCACCACAGCGCAGTCAGTCACTCCACCGCAGGCAGTCCACCGCAGGCAGTCCACCGCAGGCAGTCCACCGCAGCCTCAGCAGGGCACTCCTGGACTTGACTTTGTCTAGGAGAGTTGTTGGACACCTTCAATACCTTTTCTTTAGCGGAAGTTACACGCAATCCGAGTACACACAATCCTAGTTCACACACGGAGCACATACACACTCACCACGAGGGTTGTTCAACATCTTTGTCTTTGGCGGAAAGTTGCACACTATTCTGAGCTCAACAACCCCGACCCTAATCACATAATGTCCCGTGGGGCAGACACAAGGTCGGGGGACAAAGACAAAAGTGTCGGAGTGAATATTGTCGGGGCAAACAATAACGGGGTGCACATCGTTCAGGCAAACAATGACGGGGTATATATCGTTGGAGTTCACACACGGGGCACACAATGTCGGAGTTCACACACTCACTCACTGACTTGTTGAAGCATCTCGCGTATTTGCACCTCGTCTGTCCTGCGAGATCCCAACGTCTTGTCTCTGGAGTCCTTTAGCCGAAGCTGGCAGCGTTGGCACCCTCTGTCCTCGTCCAGTTGGCAGCCGGTTCTGTCCTGCTAGATCCTAACGCCTTGTCTCTGGAGTCCTTGCTGAGGCAATTCTGGTCTGGTTGGCTGCCGGCTCTGTCCTGCTGGATCCCAGCGTCTTGTCTCTGCAGTCCTGCCCTAGTTGGTAGCCTCCAACGCCTTGTCTCTTGAGGTCCTTTGGCAGAGCAAACCAGAGTGAGCAGGCAGAGGAGGCAGAATAGGCTGACCAAGCTGACCAGGCAGAGCAGAAGAGGGTGCCAACGCTACCAGCTTCGGCTAAAGGAGTCCAAGAGGGATAAGACGTTGGGATCTGGCAGGACAGAAGAGGCCGCCAACCAGGCCAGGATTGCAGTAATTATTGCAAGTTTGGAGGTTGGGAATGGTGCAAATGAGCAAGTGAGCAAATGAGCATACGCCACGGGGGTGCAAACGGGCCCAAGTCAGCTTTTTTCCCGCCCTGATGCAAGCTCAAGTTCAAGTGGAGTGCTCAGTGGCCACGCCCACGCCCCACGCCCACGTCCACGGAGTTCTGATAAGCACGCAATCAAGTTGGTGCAAGGGAAGTCAATGGCAGTCAAGTGGCAGGCAGCACGATCTCGCTGAAACTACAGAGTCCAACTCATCACCATCCGTCCATAACTCGACATAGCCGAGCGAACGAGTTGAACGGGACAAAACAAAACACAACGAAGCACAGTCAGTGAGTCAGCGAGTGCGCTAGGTGAGTGAGTGAGAGGACCTGCGTCGAGAACAAAGTCCAAGTCCTCCGAGTGCCCTTCTTGCCTACGAGTGCTGAGACTGAGCGCTCTCTAGTGCATGTTGCAGCCCCAAACCGCGTCGATATCCTCCATACCTACCCACACTTCCTCTCCTCTCCTCCCAGTCCAGGCGATACGACCCTTCCCACCGCGGCTTTGCCTCGACTTGGGAGAAACCACTTACTCAACGACTCCAGCAACTTATTACGATGTCGAAGGAGACGCCATTGGTCTCATATCCCTTCATGCAGAATCATATTTCGCCTACCGAGGGCTTCTCCCTCTGGCCTAAAAGAGCTTCTCTGGGCTTCCGGTCCCTTTGTCCTCGTCATTGACAGCTTGGACGAATGCGACGGTAGCCACAAACGACAACCTTTGCCAGATCTGCGGTCTGAAATCGGGACTCTCCCCCACCGTCGTCAACGTCAAAGTACGCCTTTGGACAGTGCCAGGCTGAAAAGGAACGTGAAATCATATTCAAAATCACCATATCGATCTTCTTGCTCAAAAAAAGGAAGCCAGATCCATGTCGATGAGGGGAAAGAGGAAGGCGAACTCTTGGTTGTGGACATACGCACCAAAGAATGGTACGATATGGGAATGTTTGAAGCAGTTGAGTAGCTTGAGGGGGCCGTTTCTCGTTCTGGAAGAGAGAATGTTGATTGGTTCAGAAGATGAGGAAGCTGGGCGCCGGGAGGGGCGAGGAGGTGAGTTACGGATGGACGGTGAAGAGCGTCAGGTCAAAAAGGTCGTGATTCTTCACAGCCTGCAGAGTGCGAGACGAACGGGATGACGTCTTTGGTTGGTGGCGACGAACAAGTTGGAAATACCGTACACCGAGACTCAAGTTGTCAATGTGCAAGGCGCTCTGCTCGACACTCTTGGAGATCTCAGAGGCCTGGGCGTTGGCAAGTCACTGGACCTTCCACAGATCATCGTGTGCGGAGACCCGTCGCCGGGCAAAAGCTCGGTGCTGGCAACGATCTCTGAATACCCGTTCCCCGTCTCAGACGGTTTGTGCACTAGTTCTCCGACCCAACTGGCGTTGAGGCGGAAGGAGTCTAGTTTCCAGGCGAGCATACGACCGGGTCCGACCAGAAGAGCGGACGAGAAAGCCAAGTTGGAGCGCTTCCGGGTTGACTACGTCGACCTTGCGGCCGTGGAGTCGGTATACGAGCAGGCTAAACTCGCCATAGGTATTGACGACAACAGCTCCTTCACAGACGACACGCTCTGCCTCGAGCTCGGCGAGCTGCACCTGCTAAACCTCACCTTGGTCGACCCCCCGGGGTTTTTCCACAGCAGCGGCATAGGCCAGACGGTGGCAGACGCGGATTTCGTCCAGAAGATGGGGCTAGCATACATGAAGCAGCCTTGGACCGTCGTCCTCCGTCGTCGCGTCCGCCGAGGTCCCAACTGGCCAACCAGATCGTCACTAGGCACGCCTGCCAGGCCGATTCGGACGGGCAGCGCACGATCGGATTACTAACACACCCGACATGCTCGATAGCAAACCCACGAGCGCATCGCACTACGTCCACCTGGTGCAGAACCAGGTCTTGCCGCTGAAGCTCGGGTGGTTCGTGGTGGAGAACCACAACGTCCATCAGCATGGGCGACGACATGCAGTCTGCCCTGGACGACATCTCCCGGCATACTGCAGCCGAAATCACGACTTACTTTCACGTACATCGTCAGGTAAATCTCCAGCCGTCCCTCACCCCGCCGACAGTCCGCCTGCAGAGATCGAGGCTGCCTCGCGCAGCTCTAACTCCAGGAACTCCTTCGACGTTTCGACACTGTTTCGATCACGAGCTGCGCGCGGAAGCACTTACAGGACCTCTTTAAGGTGCAGGACGTCTTGACGCTCGAACCAAAGCTTAGAGACGCCCTCTCGCCTATACGTTCCACTTGCGAGGACATGGTAGAAGACGAGGTCCTACCCATGATCGAGGTCATTGATGCGGCGCTTGTGGTGCTTCGAAGAGCTCAGCCGAATGCAACCCACGGCGAGTAGCCACCAGCCCCTATCGTCGTGATATTTGGGGATTGATAGCCTGTAGGCAGCATACGCGGCCGGACGGACAGTAACGACGCCATTGGAGACACCGAGGAGAGCGAAGAATGGTGTAAGGAGAGACGGCTCGGTTGAGGGGGCGGCGATTGGGAATTGTGTCGGCCTGAAGGGGTGATGTTGTCAGTCGGGACTGTCTTGGTACTCAGGTTCTCTCTTAATGCTTACCCTACTGTGCTACCATTGGAAAAAGATCCTTTCTGGACAGGTAACCTACGCAGTTGTTTCTTGATGCGGAGCCATTACCATAAGCGTGTCTGTCCTTGGTGTTCAAGTATGTTCCGCCTGGCAACGCTTCGACTTCTTCGTACGTTGGATTCCGCGTGCATTGTGCGCCGCTCTGGCTTGCTAAAGCCGAAGTCTGCTGGGAGAAGTCCTACATTGACGGTGAGGCCACCGTGGCCAGCACCTGAAAGACTGAATGGAGAATGTCATTGTCTATAAGAAAGCGCCAAATCACGCCCACGGCCGAAGTAATGTTACCAAAAAAAACTCGTAATAATCACCAAATCTAGAAGGACGAGTCCTTCAGTGAACAGTATCACTCCCACTACGCTCCCGAACCCGCTTAGAATTCCCGGTTAGCCTAAATAAGTATATATTAGTAAGGATATATTCTTCCCTACGATAAATGGCGATAATAACCTAGTACTTTGGATTAGTGGTCGTCTTTATACGACACCTCGAGGCTAAATGCTGTAGTAATGGGCGTTTAGGCGAGGGTATACCCTCGGTCGATAAGCTCATCAGCAGCAATTGCGGTGCACCAGTCCTTCATCACCCCTTGGGTTGGAGCGTATCTGAAAAAGCCCAAGACATTTCCTTCATCGCCCCACATAGCACTACCGCACATTCCTGCAGGAAGGCTGGCTGCCGCGTCCGCGCCCATATAGCACCAGGTTGTAGCGATCCATTCCCGGAGTGGCGAGTTTTCATCGGCAGGGACTCGGCGGCGTGCGGAAAACATAAAAGCACCGTCGGTGAAACCTGTATCAGGTGAATCCAGGTAGATAAGGCTACCTTGTTGATAACCGTTGATTGACCGTAATCTCTTCAGCGGGATAGAATCCGGGACGGTGGCGTTTGGGCTATCGAAGGTGACGTTAGAGAACGCTTCTTCGTTGTCTAACTTGACGAGCGCAACGCCTGTGTGCGAAACTTCCATGATGAGCTCGCCAATCCGGCGGCCGGAGGAATCGGGTGATGGGTGGAAGACTGCCGTGCCAGCTTCGCCGGGGAATCCATGTGCGGCGACAGTCATGTATTCGTTACCAAGTCCGTCCTTCAAAAGAACGCCAGTTGTTGTCCCGAGGTACGTACTGGGATCGCCCGGCAGATAGGCAGATGCCAGTCTCAGCCCTGGCTGTAGAGGACTGTACTGGCTGAGGTCTGGGTTCCCCGGAGTAGGATCATGAGAGCGGGCGCGAGCATGTAGTTTTGACGGCCTTCCCATCTCATCTTCGTACAAGTAGTAACACCCGACTTTCCCTGCGCTGAACGGCACTTTGCTCATGTCAGTCTGGCGGTGTTCCAAGACGATCTTTACGTGGTTGTCGAGGTACATGATCTCTGTGATCGAGATGTGAATGTCTTCAAAGTGTTTCTTGAGGACTTGGAAGAGTGGCTTCCAGTCTACCATATTTCGGTAATCTTTTTCTCTGTCGATGGAGCCATTCTTTCCACTGACTATCCTCCAACCTAGCATGGGACTTTGGCCAAAAGTCTCCGCCGTGCCGAGATGCAGTGGCATGCCCGCAATAGTCAGGGGCCACGGCTTCGGTGGCAGGGTGCGTAGCTGGAGGAGTATGAACCATCCGTCCGTGCCAATGCCAGTGGTTCCGGGAAAGACACTGCGCAGGAGAACTTCGTTTTCCGGCTCATACATAAGGCGAATGTCGTCTCGAAGGTCAAAGGGGAAAATGAGGTGGCGTGCTGGCAGCGGCGACTCTTGGAGATCCTCCTCTGGCACTCTGAGTGGATTCGGCCCGGAGATGTCGTACAAAGACGACCGCTGATCTAGAGCACTAGGTTATTATGGCCATTTGTAGCAGGGAAGAACATGTCCTTACCAATGTGGGCCAGTTCAGGCTCACCAGGGATTCTGAGCGGATTCGGGAGCGTAGTGGGAGTGATGCTGTTCACCCAAGGACTCACGCTTCCGGGCTTGGTGATTATTGCGAGTTTTTTGGGTGACATTGCTTCGGCCGTGGGCGTGATTTGACGCTTTCTCGGAGAGAGGCTCATCCCACCGATCCGTATCGGCGATACGAGCAGCACGTCGGCGACAGGCCTACGCTGCGGCGTAGAGGCGGACAACATTGTGTGAAGAATCTGCTGTTGGAAATGGGAAATGATGGTGGGAAAGAAGGAAAGAAGGAAAGAAGGAAATATTTAATGTTGTGAAGTCTAGGCAGCAATCGCCGAGGTCCTCAAGCTGGTAGTAGAGTACCTGCGAGTGCCTAAAGTTTGAATTCTGGGCGTGCCTGAGTGCCTGTCAAGTGCCTGGGTACTGAGACTGAGTGCCCAAGTTTCCTGCCTGCGCTGCACTCGCTCCTCTCGCTGCGCTGAAATGTAGGCCCCACTCCAACCATTATGGCTCACACCCCCTCCAGCAGCCAATCAGAACCCACCATTTTGTCCAAAATCCAACTTTTTTCGACTTTTGGCCAATGACCGCCCAAGGATTGGCGCAAAACTGTGCTTCGACAACCACCACTTTGCGACAATCACCCCTCGTGCAACTTTTGGTCTTTGACCACTTTTTTTCCCAACATCACCTTTTCCAACTGTCAACTGTCCACTGTCGACCCAAACACCACTTTTCGTACTCCTCGAGTGTGGTTGAGTGTTGGATTGACACACTTTTGGATTTTGGCCCCTTTGTGCAACTTTTGGACTTTTGCAACTTTTTGGCCTTTGGGGAAACAGTTGCACACAGCCAAAGTCCACACATAACCTGAGTGTACATGTCCTGAGTTCACACAACTGATTAACTCACTCACTCACTGCCTTGACCTGGCTTCACACAACCCAAGCTCACTCACATGGTCCAAGTTGCACACAACATGAATTTCACATAGCCTGAGTGCACAAAATCCAAGTTCACGCACTCACTGCCTTGTTGAAGTATCTTGCAATATCTGTATCTCGTCTACTGCATCTTGCAATATCTGCATCTCGTCTGCTATATCCCGTCTGCTGTTCCTCGTCTGCTGTTCCTTGTCTGCTGTGCTTCGTCTGCTGTATCCCGTCTGTCTTGCCGCATATCTGCCTCTCGAGAATGTTGAATCTTGTAGCTCGTTTATCTTCCAGCTCGGTTTTTTGCATCGCGTCTATCTTGCATCTCCTCTACTGTATCCCGTCTGCTGTATTACCATCGGTCTTGCTATGTGTCTGTCTCGCGAAGCTGTCCGGACTATCTTGTAGCTCGTTTATGTTGTAGCTGTATCTTTACAGCTCGCGAATTCATTTCGTTGATCTTGCATCGCGAATCTTGCATCTCGCGAATCTGCATCTCGTCTGCTGTATTCCCGTCTGCTGTATTCCCGTCTATCCCAGCTCCTTGCCTACGATCAATCCCTAAAAACTCGATCCGCGAGCGTTCGAGAGTCTCTGTTATCAGAGATGGTTCATCTTTCTGCTGCAAGCATGACGCTTGCAATGGAAACGACAGACGAACGCACGAAGCACCTAAGTGATCACATCTACCACATGATCACGTTCGCAGGCAGTTACTCTTGGCAGACTCTTGCGCGTGTCTGTCTCGCGAACCTTGCAGCGAGCTGAACGTCCATGTCAGCGGTGCCCTCTTGACAATATTGTGTAGAAGCACACTGACTGAAACCTCCATTCACACCCTGCAATCCGAATGCCCCCTCAAACCCACGTGGCTGTTCCCCAATACTCAACCATTGTATGATCATGGGTTGGAGCATCACGACGCTGCTGCTGCGCATTGTCGATTTTGCACCCAGCTCTGGGATCGCGGAACCGTCACTCCGCAGTTACGACTCTTGGTACCAGGGAAAAGCCTTGAGTACCTATGAAACGTGTGCTTGGGGATTTGCGGCCGTCGGGGCCACGTTTGCGACGAGAACATGGAGATTGCCAGAATGGTAGTAGCCGGTTGAGGACTGCATTTGGCTACGGGGGACAGTATCGCAAAGACGAAGATTGCGCCCCTTTTTGTCGGCGATCCCTCCTTTGCTCTCTGGCCAGTATCCCAATCTGATATCGTCGAGGGCTCTCTATGGTGAGCCCACATTTCCACGAACCTGAGGTCGGCGAATCCATGTCTTTTCGCTACGTGTCTGGTCGGTATGCACTCGTGAGGGTAAGTCACACACAGTTGGCATAGCTAAGTGGTGCGTTTGTCTCAATATCGGCGGGTGAGGCTCCTTCTGCGAACCGTGACGTGATCTCGCGTGGAAAAACGAAGACCCTAAACTGTCTAGCTTATCAGTAGCTATCAACAAGATAAAGCGGCAGTTCTAAGGAAGAACTTTATATTCGGCTGTAGTCTGCAAAGCCGCGTAGATCGCTGGAGGCTAAATGTTGTAGAGGCGCGGGCACAAACACAATATGCGTAAGTCTAGAACTATGAACCGATTGACGCTTGTTGGCATAAATAAGGCAACGCCAATGGGAAAATATGTCTACGGGCCTGCCTGCGATAACAGTCGGTGGAGAGGCAAGCACTCCAGAGCATCGAGTCGGGCTCGCGAATCTTGTAGCTCACGTATCTTGTAGCTTACGTATCCATGTTGCAAATCTTGTATATTGCGTATCTGTCTCGTTTATCTCGCATATCAGGTTTTTTTTGCATCTCCCTTTTTCGTTCATCTTACAGCTCGCGTGCGTATCTTGCATCTTCCCAAACCCAAGCTGTGGCTTGCAAGCTCCCTTCCATTTTCCCATCTCTGTTTCCCCATCATCGGTTGGCA